AGAAAGCCACTGCACAGCGTAAACAACAAAAGCCAGGTAAACAGTCAACTGCTGTTAGCAACCTGAACATGCTGTTAGTCACAATGTGTTGCAGATAAATGGAAGTCATGGGGATGTTTCTACAGTAACATTTCATGCTGCAGCTTCTGGTTCCAACTCACCGGTCAACCAGCACATAAGGGTGGGACGTCTGCCACACCAGAGGACGAAACTTCATCACAGAGATGAAGCGCCCAAGGTTCTTCACTTCCTGGGTCTGATATTCACCGTACACCATACCAGACAGATAGAACAGCTTTGCCCCCTGACAGGTTCAAACAAAGAAATGCGCATTAGATGATTGTCACTGAATTACAGGAAGTTTCTTGGTGTACAAGATTGTGCATGAGAGCAAGAGCACATGGTGTCAGCAGTAACTATTCACTTATATTTACCTGGTACACCTCTGTCCAGAAGCGATGCTTGAGGTTTTTTTTTGTCTTCCTCAGTGTCTTATTGTTCTTGAATGAATCCAGGTGAGTTAGTACACCCATGATACGAGGGAAGCCGTGAACCTGACAGATGTTGAGAAACTCAAACGTCTCCATCTCAAAGCCAAAGCTCGCATCAATCAACATCAAAACCTAAAGACAGAAGAGAAAGGGAAAAGCTTTGCATGTCAATTCATTTAATTGCATTAATTACACTGTATTCTTCCCTCTATTCAAATCAACAGGCTGAAGGTACATTTACTACATCAGTCTGTACATTTACTTTTCACAAGCCCTGTAGTTAAACCTGTTTCTTTACTGTGTAAACCTGATTATATCACAGGTCCATACAGAGAAACACTAGATTATGTAACATTGCTTCACATCTCATTTAAATAAGCACAGCCATACATTTAACACACTATTTTGTACAGTGAACTGCAAAACGTACCAGATCAGCAACCTTGGCAAGATCTATCATTGTGTTTATGTCGTTGTTACACTCCACGAAAGTCAAGCGATGCTTCTTGCCTGAAGAATACAAGAAGTAGACTTATCATATCAGTTACTAATCACACACAAACAAAGCAAGACGGTTAAATGCACACTGGTGGTCACAAAAAACACATTATTTAAAAATGTCCATATTAACCAGTTTTTCTTTCATTTTGTGGGATGCCATCAGTGATGTGCAAGCTGCAGAAATAAAAGATTACCATCAGCCTTGGGGACTTAAAACAAACATAATGAAACCTCAACCTAAATAAAACTGACGACAGAATAAGTACAACTAGAGAATAGAACGCTTAAAAATGTTCAAACCACACACGATACTCATGCTCATCTCAGCTCAGTGACTGTCAATGTGAGGGTCCTTCATCCATCCATCCATTATCTATACACCACTTAATCCTCACTAGGGTCACAGGGGGACTGGAGCCTATCCCAGCTGACTTAGGGTGAAGGCAGGGGACACCTGGACAGGTCACCAGTCTATCACAGAGCTACACTTAGAGACAGACAACCAAGCACACTCATATTCACACCTACAGACAATTTAGAATCACCAATTAACCTCAACATCACCAATCTATATTGTATTCATCTCTTATTTCTTGCTTAGAAGAATAATTTAAAGATAGGACTTGGGTCTTTGTTATATTCAATTTATAACCTGAGTGTTCTATCTTCTATCTGGATCTTCAAGAACAACAACAACATTGTCTGCAAAAAGCTCTATATGTTCCTGCTCAGCAATAGGGTTTCTTAATCTTGAAGAGAGCCATAAATGTTGAGTGGGGCTGAGGCCAGAAATTGTTGTGTTTGTTTTCTGTTGTGAAGAAAACTATAATGGAGATACTGGAAGCAGGTGAGATTGACAACCAAGATGATCGGTTTTTACCAATAAACTACTTCAATTGAGTCAGACAAGGGTGAAGTGGACTTGATGCAACTCTAGAACAGCATTCCCTGCAAACTATAGCTACAATTGGTCAATCCATCCATCCATTATCTATACACCGCTTTATCCTCTGCAGGGTTGCGGAGGGCTGGAGTCTATCCTGGCTGACTTTGCGTGAAGAGGCAGAGGGCCCCTGGACAGGTCACCAGTCTGCTGCAGGGCTATACTTAGAGACAGACAAGCACACTCACATTCAAATCTACAAACAATTTAGAATCATCAATCAACCTCAGCATGTTTTCGGACTGTGTGGGAGGAAGCCGAAGAACCCGAAGAGAACCCACTCTGCACGGGGAGCATGCAAACTCCACGCAGAAAGATCCCGGGTGTCCTTCCCGGGACGTGAACCGGGGGTCTTCTAGCTGGGAGATGACAGTGCTATCCACCAAACCACCACGCAGCCATAACTGATCCAGTTGCCACAAATGTTTTGAGTGCCATTCAGGGTCTCCCTAGAAACCTTAAGTCCAGCCATGATTTGATGCTGAGAAAGCTCCACTTTGGTCAGAATAACAGTCTGACTTCTCTGCCTACTCTTATCATCTCTCTGCTACTTAGGCCAGTGTTACACTTTGTGTATCTGCAAGTGTCTGTGTGATATTATTTCAACATCTCTTCAAGTCTGTGTGGGTCCCAAAATGTGGGTGTGCGCAGACTTTTACCAAGGATAGCAGAGCGCATGCTTGGCAGTAGTGTGCACCCACAGAACGTCTAGACACCGATCTACTGCGCATGTATGAAAACATGTGCTCATAGCAGAGCAAAGCTGTGTTTCTACCAAGCGAACAATGGCTGCTGATGGACTCAGCTGAAAAAGTCTCTGATGATTTAAATGCATCCACCTGAGTGTCATCTGAACTCTGCATCAACAGAAGGACACAACTCAAGTAGGTCAAAGGAATCAACGTAGTCACTGCCACGAATCTACTTCAGTTTGATTGCTGACTGTTAAATAGTACAGAATCTGAAATATTTCCAAATTTCACGTCAGAAGGTTTTGTGTTTTTAACTGTTTATAAATTATTACACTTTCTAATTATTTCCAGTTTTCCATGAAAATATGACAGGTTTTCAAAGTGGTTTCATCCTTTCAGACCAATCCACGGAGGTAGGAACCACATACATGCTGCTTTCATACTACTGTCAACTCATAAGCAGTTTACGAGTATTGATAAAACAGTTGCGCAATAATGTGAATATGCTCATTAAAATAACATAACATTGGCCAAACTCACCAGAGACGATGGTTACAGGTCCACATATGTCCCCAAGCTTCTGCCGTGTGAAGTTTTTGATCAGGCAGCGGATCAGGGTGCTTTTTCCCACCTTGGGTGGCCCGACAACCACAATCACAACTGGAGGAGGTTTCAGGGGTGTCCGGTCTACAAGAGGGATGTGGTGTTTTTTGGTTTTTATGTCCTGGGCCCTGAAGAAGAGTATTATAAACAACACAATAGTTAGTGGCAAATATCTTGATTATTCCTGTGTTAGAGCAGCTGATATGACCATCGTCAGGACTGACCTGTGGAAGGTTTTGGCCATTCGGGCAGCGGACTGAACCGCAAATGCTTTAGGGTTGCGTTTCCGTGCATCCTCCTCCGCTGGCCCTCCCTGCTTCTTAGCCTTCTTCTTCTCTGCCTTTGGTCCACTGTGCTTCTGCTGATGCTGCTTCTGTTTCTTAACTTTCCCGTCCATTCTGTCCACTGTAAAGCACAGACCTGAGTTAAACTTGTGTGCATTAGGTGTCACGACAGAATAAATTGCTCATACACAGAAGGGTTGGATAGGACTTTAGTGAAACAACAGGTTGACTTTCTGTTCCAATGAAAATGTTTGATGAATCCATTTTGTACAAAAACAAATGCATATTCCGTAACAGTCGCCCCCTTTATGTCAACTTTGTATCTATATCTTGTTTCTTGTGTATTTAATGAGAAAAGACACCTACAGTAAAGTCATGTTGAATGATAACTCTCCCCTCCATTTGGTCTCTCATTCACAAGGTATAAAGCTATTAAAAATGTAAACCACAAACCATTCTAATAGATCTGACTAAGTCAGAATGTAATACTTAGAATTGAAATGCAGAGCATTAAAAAAAATATTTTGGGAATCAGTTAATTAAAGATTGTTCAATTATTCAATGGCATAAAATATGATGAAATAACTGTGAAGACATGACAACCTGGAAAACCTAAACCCTGCAAATGCTTTACAATTTCTTCACTAATATTGATGTTTGTTCGCAATTAGTCTTTTACCAAAATAGAGCAAGTTTTTTTTTGCCAATTTGTATGCATTTCAACTATGTGGGCAAAAAAAAAATCGGGTATCTGATAAATGTATCAGATCAATACATATACATAAATGTGAATGCATGCGTTTTAATGCACAAATGATTTGCAATATTCAACTGATAATCTATTAAACACTAAATGATGTACACACAGGTGACCTGTAAGTGTTTACAGTTTCACAAAACTCTTCATACGCATACAAAATTGGGCTCTACCTTTTAGCTCTACCAATAATATTGTTATGGTGTATCGCAGTTTAAGACATATTTTGGTCACTGCCACGTGAAAATAAAATAGGTTATTATATACAAGTAGAGGATCTTACTCATCCTCTAAGGTTGTTTATAAAGAGAACATTCCAGCTGCACGACAAAAGTCAATGCTTTTAAATGACCTTTAGGGTTTTAAATCATCTCGGGTTGATAAAGCTTTAGAAAATCCAAGTGTTGTTTGAGAGAGCTGCATGTATGTGAACACATGAGGCTACAAACAGTCCGAGTGTAACAGCTGTTTGTCTCCGTGGAGAAAGAAAAGCAGCAGCGACAAGAGTTCTGTTTAAAATAAAATAAAAATATATATATTTTTTTAAAGTACAAAAGGTGTCTCTCATACCTGATAATCAAACCTCTGCTGCAACTCAACGCCTGTTTCATTCAGATATCACATGTGCATTGTGACCTACGGCCCGGAAGTGTAAAGAAGCGTCACGTTAAAGCAAAACGAGTGGAAACAAAACAGTGAAAGGTTCCGCTCAGAGAGGGACCGATGTGGAGCGAAGTGTCGCCCTCTGCTGCTGCGATCGACACGAAGACAAAAGTAAAGATTGAACCATCCTTTTCCCTTTGCTTTGAACATATATCGTTTGGCTTCACTAACTATTCATCTGAGAAAAAAAATAAAAAATTATAAATATATATGATTAATCTTGTTGTTTATTTGGCCAAATGGCATATCTACGAATGTCGATAGACTATTCAACAATCAGTCTTTTCTGTATTTGACAATGAGGTCAAACAATATATTAAAACTATTTACCATTCCACTAACATGAAAACCATTGAGACTTTTGATTTATGCCCTCTTTTTCATGTATTTGTGTAATATGATATTCTGAAATACTACCTCTGAAAAATTGTAACCCCCTGGCGCTTTGTATTGCTCTATACTGTACGGTTTTTCTAAATAAAAAATGTAAAAATAAGAATGAAAAAGAAGACAAAGAAAGATAAAAACACACAAGAAGAAATGTATATATATGAATAGATAGATAGATAGATAGATAGATAGATAGATAGATAGATAGATAGATAGATAGATACATAGATAGATAGATAGATAGATAGATACATAGATAGATAGATAGATAGATAGATAGATAGATAGATAGATAGAAATAGGCAAAATACATAAATCAAATATATATAAAATATGGCATGCCGTTTAGGAAATTTTATATATATATATGTAACAGTCAACAATATATATATAGTGAAAATCTGAATATATATAGTCAAAGTCTGAATATATATAATGAAAGTCGGAAAGTCTGAATATATATAATGAAACGCTGAATATATAGAATGAAACTGAATATACAGAATGAAACGCTGAATATATAGAATGAAACTGAATATATAGAATGAAACTGAATGTATATAATGAAA